GCCGCACCGATCCTTCCCCTGCTTGGTCTCACCCAAGATGGCGGCTCGTGGAGCAGCTGAGCATCTCGGATTAGAAAGCTATGGATTTCTTGCTTCTGCCACAAATTCCCCCAGCTGTAAGCCTTCCAACCTTCTAAATATTCCTTTATATGTGGGTCAGAGTTCTGGGACCATCTCCTGAGCCTGCTTGGTTGGGTATTCTGTGTTGTTGCTGACGGAGCTCCTTTACTGCACTTCCACCCGATCCGCCATCTTGTTTGTTCTCCACCAGTGCATAATTTGTGGAATGGAATCTCAGAAGGAGAAAAGCTAGTTCAGGGTGGGAGTTGTGGCAGCCCCCTTCTGTGTTCCATCTGGAAGCTCTCACTGTGAGTGGTTCTGCTGAGACTTAGGAGCTGGAGATCCCTGGCTCCCGACAGAATAAGAAATCATACAAACAGGAGTTTTCAACATTTTTATTCCTGTAACAGAAATTCTTTCCAGTGATTCTCACCTTTTCAAAGTTTGATCTTTCAAAGTTAAAAACAGATCATATGGGGTGGGAGGGAAGGATTGTTCCAAAGCTAGCTCCAGAGAACACAGAACTTTGCCTTTATGAAACGAGACCACTCTCTCTTGGCTCTTCCAGATTAACAACATGAAGACCAAATTTAAAGAAACCATTGAGAAGTGTGATAACCTGGAACACAGATTAAATGATCTCCTAAAGGAAAAGCAGACTGTGGAAAGAAAGTAGGTATAACTGATCTGTTTCTAAACTCACAGTTTTATAGTGACAGGCTCTGTATTCCTAAGTAAACTGACCCTGTTTTCAAGCATTTGCATCAACAGGTTTTCAGGGGTCTCCCTATATGAGGAACAAACCTGTTTTGATTTCCTATGTAGTGTTTGGTGCCAGATAGATGCCATGTGGAGCCCAGTGTTTTCTGGTGTCTCTGTGCTTCCTGGTGTGTTCACATATGTGCCATGGCACCGGTCCTGAGACCCCTCCGAGCCCTGAGGCTGAGTACTGGCACTTAGAAAAGAGATTACGCCCAAGCTGGAGATGACGTGTGCTCTGGCCTTGGGCAGGAATTAAAGGCCAGAGATGTTGAATTTGAAGCAAAAAAAAAACATTTCCAACATGGCAACTACATACTCCGCTGCTCTAATTTGGATAGTTGCAGCTGATTGAAATTACCTTTCTGGCTCTATTTGGACCTGCAAAGATAGTTGGAATTTTACTTCCCTGCAAATGGAAAAAATGTGAGATCTTTGTTCCTCAAGGAAGGTTGGGGAGGGGGATGTAAATTTAAATTTTGGAGTACATTTACATTTATAGAACACTTGCCGAGAGAAAGTACAGAATTCTTGTACTCTTGTCACCACTTTCCCTATTGTGAAGTGAGTTGGTTTTATTTAACTGTTGTAAAAATAATACTGCACCATTACTAGAAATCAAAATGGAATATTCTCCCATGCTTTCAGCCCCTTGACAAGTTAAACTGTATGAACCCATTAATGCTGGAAGCCCTCTGTCACTTCCCTTCCCCTGTAGACTGTTGTTGAGAGAACCATTTTTAACAGGAAAGTTGAGTATTTGCCCTTCTAGGTCTGTTGTTCTGAGTAAATGAACAGCTCACATATGTGATTTTTTCCCACAAAAATAAAGTAATACTAAGCATTATCTCTCTCTTTTTTTTTTTCCTTTTAACTACAGTTACATATAATACGAAAATGCTTCAAAAAGTTCACCAAAAATTTTTATATTTTAATTACATGTTTCCTTAAACTTATAATTAATTACTTAATTTTTGGCTTTGTTGTTATTAAGTGTCATTGAGTCAGTTCCAACTCATATTGACCCTGTATGTTGTTGTTGTTAAGTGACATGGAGTCAATTCTGACCCATAAGTCCCTGTGTAGGGTTTCTATGGAGCAGCTGGTGAGCTTAAACCACCTCGACCTTGCAGTTCAAACAACTTTGCAGTCTGATGCATTAGCTTTCCAAATGGAGTCCTGGTGTGGTGCTGTGTGTGAATGCGCTTGACTACAAAGCCGGTTTGAACTGCAAGGTCAGTGGTTCAAGCTCACCAGCTGCTCCTTAGAAACCCTATAACAGG